TCTTTGATGTAACAGGATTCAAAGAGTACTGAAAAGTACATCGTTTCCTCACTATCTGATTCATTTTAATACTTCATTCTCTGGCTTCTAAAGTCATTTTTTCTTAGTAGTAGGAACTCTACATAATGGGAGACACTGAAGGATGTGAATCGGTTTTTGGCTTTATCGTTTGGTGGTGGTTTTAGTTATATAATCTCAAACTTGCTCCCTTCAGTATGTTTCTGAAGTGACTGACCTTTATTATCACAAATTTTTAGATTTTTTTCCCCTGCCATAAGTTAACAGTGCTTATATATCCTCAGGAAAGAAGAAATTACTCAAACTCTGAAGCATAGAACCCAGTTTTACAGAGCTGTCTGCTGAGTTGTTCCAGTCCAGATGGCTGTGGAATCCAGAGCAGTTTCAACCCAGATACCTCAGGATCCTCAGGAACAAGGACTAATATTAGTGAAAGTAGAAGATGGCCTCTCTTGGAGTCAGAAATTTAAACCAAATGGGAGTATTCAGTCTTGCCAAGAGTTGTTTCGCCAACAATTCAGAAAATTTTGCTACCACGAGTCCCCTGGGCCCCGGGAGGCTCTGGCCAGACTCCAGGAGCTCTGCCATCAGTGGCTGATGCCAGAGGTGCACTCCAAGGAGCAGATCCTGGAACTACTGGTGCTGGAGCAGTTCCTGAGCATCCTGCCTGAAGAGCTGCAGATCTGGGTTGAGCAACATAATCCAAAAAGCAGCGAGGAAGCCGTGACCCTTTTGGAGGATTTGGAGAGGGAGTTTGATGATCCAGGACAGCAGGTAGGAACAGAGAAATGACGGGCTGTGGGGAAAGGAGTTTAAACCTGGACCATGTGGTAGAATAGTAGGATAAAATTTTGTATGTCTCCACCAAACCATAACCATACAGGGCCATGCCTGTCTCCTTTATCCCTGGAGATGCCCTCATTGACCCATTTGAGAATTTTACTAAGCACTTTCCTTAGGGGTTTTCTCACAGACCTAATTGTATTTTACTAATTTCAGGTCTCAGCAAGTCCACATGGACCAGCAGTGCCATGGAAGGATTTGACATACCTTGGAGCATCCCAGGAACCAACAAACATTCAACTCCAGCCTTTAAAGAAACAGCTGAAATCCTGGAAACCTTGCCTTTCCCCTAAGAGTGGTGAGGAACAGAAACTTATCTGGGAACTCCTGTCAGTTAGGTCTCTGGTTTTGAGGATGCAGAATTACTTGCATTTTACAAACTTGACACATGTGAACATTACCTTTGCTGTTTCTAAACCAGAGGTGCCCACGTTAGCATCTTTGTATTCAGCATTTCTCATGAAGGGCACTTAGCCCTCCTTGCGTCATTTTACCTGTCATCCATTTACTTAGTCTGTCATTTTATAACTGTAGCCTATTAAGACATCCCTGGTACTATTGTAGGCACTTGGTCTCTGTCTTTGAGGAGCTTTCAAATCTTGGTGGGTGGTGGACAGGCCAAAAAACAATGCATTATGCTGTAGTAAATTTTTCAATGAAAGTAAACATTGGATACTATGGCAGGACATACAACAGCACCTAACTGAATCTTAAAGGTTGAAGGAATGCTTCCTAGATGAAGAAACTTAGAAGCTAAGAGTCAAAACTGTGAGTGGGAGTATCAGCCACCTAGGCAAAGGCCACAAAGTCTTGAAGGTGAGAGAATGCAACCCACTCTGGAAACTGTAGGTAGTTCAGTTTGGCTTGTGCAGAGAATTGAGAGGAAAGGGATGATACAGAATGAATTAGAGTAGAAAATGGGACCTAAGCTGTATGTCATGCTAATGGGTTTGTACAGTGGGGTACAGTTGAAGAGCTTTGGACAAGGGAGTGACATGATTGGGTTTGTGGCTTAGAACTTAGCTACAGAGTAGCAAATAGATTTGGGGAAGTCAGGTGTAGAGCACTTTTAGGGACTGTTGTGATCTGGGTGGACAAAGTGAATACATGTTATGGGTAGATCAAAGCTGACCCCTGCTTAGTGTTTAGGGAAGTCAGGTGTAGAGCACTTTTAGGGACTGTTGTGATCTAGGTGGACAAAGTGAATACATGTTATGGGTAGATCAAAGCTGACCCCTGCTTAGTGTTTAAATTGCACTGCAGACTTTGGTAACTGTTAAAGATAGGGTGTGAGGTGGTGTGCGAGGGAGAGTTGAGGATTATACTCAAGTTCCAGTCTTGAGCAACCTGCTTATTAATGGCTATTCCTGTAAATGGTAAAACATAGGGAAGAAAAACACATGCACATCTGATGGGCCATTTTGGTGCTTGTGAAATACTCACAAATAATATGCCCAGTTAGCAATTGAAAATGAGAGTAGTCTAGAGCTTGATAGAATTGACGATCTGGGGAGACATTAGCTTACAATATAAGTAGTAATTGAAGCCCAGTGGTGCAAAAAGTTTGCAGAATGGGAATACGTGAAAGCCCAGAACAGAATTTGGAGAAGCACTAATGTTGAGTGACTAACCCTAGGACCTAAGGAACAACCACAGAAATTAGGCTAATAATAGGACTGGAAGAACCTGGCTCCCAAAAGAAGGTGTGGCTTCCATGTTACAGAAAGGCCAACTAAGATCTAGAAAGTACCTACTGCGTTATGCAGCTGTGAAGTTGATGACCCTGATGAGAAGTTGAAGTGGTAGTGGTAAGGTTTAGGGGTAAGGCAGAAACCATGTTGTAAAATGGAGATAAACACAGACAGCCCCTTCAAGAAATTTTACTGTGAATGGAATGAGCAAGGTTGCTTGAAGGAGATGAGTAGACAGAGCTTGATTTAAAAAGTAAGAAAGACTTAAGCTTTTTGAAATGCTGATGAACAAAGTCAGTCCAGAAAGAGGTTGAAAAAGAATGGGAAAGAATTAGTGGTTAATTGATCAACTGAAGTCTCAAGCAACAAGAGTGAAAGCCCAAAGTGTAGATCTAGGCTTTAGCATTAGAAAAGAGGGAAGACTGTTTTGACCAGTTAAAGAAAAGATACATGTGGACAGTGACATTTTGTAGGTAGAGGTGTGTATGTTCTCTAATCTATATATAGAGTACCCAGAGTAACTGAAGAAATGTAAAGTCTCTTTTTTTGCTGTTTATCATTTCAGATTGTGAGAACGTGGCAGCAAGAGAAGAGGACGTTTCAGGAGGAAAACCACAGGGACTTCCTCTGGAACCTTCATTTGAAGGAATTAGTGAGCAGGAAAGCAGTTTAGAGTGGCAGCATGAAAGTGCGTTAGGAGAAAAGTTAAGAAGACTCCCTTCCCAAGGAAGCAGTTTTAGTCAAATGTTCTTCACACACAAATCTCCAGGGAAGAGAGACTATCATGATGACCCTCAAAGATGTGTGATTCTAAGTACAAACTCCATGACATGTCAGAAAGTTCCTATAGAAGAGAGACCTCACAGATGTGATGTATGTGGGCACAGCTTCAAGCAGCATTCCTCTCTAACACAACATCAGAGAATCCATACTGGAGAAAAACCTTATAAATGTAACCAGTGTGGGAAGGCCTTTAGTTTGAGGTCATATCTCATTATTCACCAGAGAATTCATAGTGGTGAGAAAGCCTATGAATGTAGTGAGTGTGGGAAAGCCTTCAATCAGAGCTCAGCCCTCATTAGACATCGGAAAATTCATACTGGTGAGAAAGCTTGTAAGTGTAATGAGTGTGGCAAAGCATTCAGTCAAAGTTCATATCTCATTATACATCAAAGAATTCACACTGGCGAGAAACCCTATGAGTGTAACGAGTGTGGGAAAACATTTAGCCAGAGCTCAAAGCTAATTAGACATCAGCGCATTCATACAGGTGAGAGACCCTATGAATGTAATGAGTGTGGGAAAGCTTTCAGGCAGAGCTCAGAGCTGATTACCCATCAGAGAATACATAGTGGAGAGAAGCCCTATGAATGCCATGAATGTGGAAAAGCCTTCAGTTTGAGCTCAAACCTCATCAGACATCAGAGAATTCATAGTGGAGAGGAACCCTATCAATGTAATGAATGTGGCAAAACCTTCAAAAGGAGCTCAGCCCTGGGCCAGCATCAGAGAACCCATTCTGGAGACGAAGCTTACATATGTAATGAATGTGGAAAGGCTTTCAGGCACAGATCAGTCCTGCTGCGCCATCAGAGAGTCCACACTGTAAAGTAACTCACAAATAGAGTGAATATTGTAAATACTCCATTCAGATTTTTATCATTGTTAATCAAAAGGGTTTACTTTGGATTAAGACTCTCTAAAGGCTGTAAAGTACTAGGTCTGGAGTCAGTCTAACAGCTTTGCGCGGCGTTTCCCAATGCTAGTACCAGTTGTCCCTTGAAAGCTTTTCCTGCGACTAATCAGAAAGCCAGAGAATAATTCCTTCCAGCTTTGTTCTTACCAGTGGGAGTACTCAGGAAGTACAAAAAGTGGGAATGTAACATTGAAACCTCATGTTCTGTGAGAATGTCATGAAAAGTGTATAGCAACCCAGGCAGTGTCACTACATCTGACTGCCAGTGTGCCAGGTTTGAGGACTGGTGTAGACGGCATGAAGGGCTTTTTGTCTCAAAATTTTAAAAAATTTGACCGGCCCAATTAAGAATAGTATGAAGACAGCAAGAAAGTTTGGGAAATGGTCTCACCAATGGCTTATGTCCAGGGCAGGTCAGAAATAAGATAGGCGTGAGAAGAAAGGATATAAATTTATCCAAGTTATTTAGTTAGTACCTGCTTTGGTGGAACAAGGGACGCAGTGCAAAATAGGACATAATTTCTATAGTTAATAGGCAAAGCATAGATCAGGTAGTGACACTGTGGTCTGGTCACAGCTGTGTGACTATAAGCAGTCCCCCAACTCATCCTCAGAAAAGGAAATGGGGAAATTACCTGAAATATGAATAGGAGCCAGAGAGCTATGCCCAGGAACAATAATCCCAGTAAAGAAAGCAACAAACAGCAGGAAGAAAGTATAGAATGTTTCTATTCAGTGTCTTTTGAAGTGGCCTCATGGTTCTAAGAGCACAGGTGTAGCCAGAGTCTTAATTAGTGCCTATAGCAAAATAACCCATGGAGAAATCTATTTATAGACAGATCCTACAGCGCTTAGACCACAGGACATTGGGGAGCTTTGTTTTGATCCATGTGACCAAAGGGAAGGGGCTAATACGTGGTTTCATTCTCCAGCACATAAGCTAAGCTAGAGCTTGCATGCCTGTAGTGGTGGGAGGGAGCCCAGCCTAGACTTGAAGAGTCTAGTCTGATAGATTGTTATCTGTCTCCCAGAAATGACAGTACAGAGCTATTAAATTCCTCTGAGTCCCCAAGGATCTGAGTCAGCAGCTCCCATAGCATTTATTTTCAGGGGCTGTATCCTCACTGTTCCTGATACACTCCTTTGGGTTCAGGTGCTCAAGAAAATACGTGTCAGTTGCTGGGTCTGTGACTTCTGTCCAGGCACCTTGCACATGTTTAGTTTTGCCTTTGTTAGCTGTATTTCACAATGTCATCTGCAAACTTTATGAAAGACAATGCCAAAGGGAAATGATAGAAAGTAACAGTCATGGTCATCAAGACTTCCCCTCTTCTGAGGGACCCAGGAAGAACAGTAGGCTGGTATGTGGTACGCAATGGAGTTTTACAAGTTACCCAGAAAGATGTCATTCAAAAGACCTAATAGGTTAGAGGAATAACACACCTTACCAAAAAATAAATAAATAAATAAAAATCTAGAATCTTGTGCATAGAAAAGGAATTTCCATGAGGGTTAAAAGTAGCAAAGAAAAGTAATGCTCATATTGGGGCATGCATAGGTAGGCATGTGCTAACCTTTGCAAAGCAGGAGGGCTAAATGCCCAAGTTTTGGAGGAGACTGAAAAAAGAAGGTGAAATCATTTGGGAAAGATGGTACATGTGACAATACATGGTAAGAGCTTATTTTCTTTCTTGTCCACAAAGAATGACCTAAACTGAAAAAGGTAGGACGTTAGGAATTGATATATTGCACAAGAGAAATATCCATACAGAGCACTTACATATATCAGTGAGAAATGTAATAGGTGCTGGATTGGGCTTTGTTGTAGGTATTCCTTCTCAGTCAAGCCCATATTTTGCAAATAAGGACATGAAGGCTAAAGATCATATAGCTAATAAGCGACAGTGAGGTCAGGCTTTGAACCCAGGCAATAGGAATCTAGAACCTTCCTGTAGAGCCATTTCTCTACACTGTCTCCCTGTGAGAAATAGAAAATCTAGTATTTAAATAGCAAGTCATAAAAGGTTAAGTACCAGTAGACAGTGAGGTAGCTAAACCTCATGTTAAAGCAAGACTTGAGTGAGCTGGTGGTACTTTTCTGTATAAAACCATTAAAGATTCAGGGAAATAGGAACTCAGTGCTGCTGGTGATTATGGGAATCAGTATGATCTCTGGCAGTCAATACCAGAAGCCTTAAGCATTGCCTTTTGACTTTGAAATCTACCTAGAAATGTATACTTCAGAAACCATCATGAATGTACAGTCTTAAAAGCTGTTAAAACTGATGTTAATTAATATCAAATGAAGTAGTCATGGTATATTGCTAAATACATTAAAACACTGTATAATATCACATGTAAATTATATACTTATACATTAAAAATACTGGAAATTATTATCTCAAGGCGCTATATTGGTTATCTTGGTGTGAAGTTACAGGCAATTTCTTGTGCTTTTCAGTATTTACCAAATTTTTCTGCTATATTTATAAAACACTCAGAGGAAAAAGTGAGTGAAAGTCCAGGATAGCTGAGAAAATACTAGGCAAAGCACCTGTTTACCATCCCTGTGCCTCCCAGGTCTCAAGTCATTAGCTAACTTAATTGTGATTGCACACATGATACAGAAAAGGTTGCCTATAAATTACAAATCCCTGAGCAAAGAGAAGTTGTTCTGTAGGCTTATGGTTTAGAATGGCAATAACTTTGAAGTCATGACTTATGACTTAGTTCTTTTCCATGAATTCTGCAGCTGTAAGCAAGTCACTTCCAGACTTCACTTTAAAGGAGCTGAAGTAAATGATCAGTTCCCATCAGAGCTGATACAAGGTGTATGTCGAGGAAATTGTTTTTTTCTTTACTACCCTTACCTGGGAGAAAAATAATCTGTGCCTTTCCCTTCTGCTCAGGGCTGTCTTGTTTCTCTGGGTATAGCACCATTCCAAAGGGTAACACTATCTACCTTAACCAGATCTTAACGCAGATTTAAAAAGATAATGTGCATTTTAGGCAAAGTGCCTCTCCTCATTTCCATGGCCTGCAGCTACCACTAACAGGATTGGAAATTTAAAGCAAATCTGATGATGGTCTTGCCAAGCTCACATTTCTATTAAGAACCAACTAAGGGAGAGGAGCCTTTGCTCCTTTTCAGCAGTTAGTGCTGAGGTTTCCAAACGTACATATGACCCTCACCCCCACCCCCACCCCCACCACCACTACTGAAAGCAGGGCAGAGTCCCAATTCCAGGGGATATGGGCCCTGTGTTGCACATTCCCATGGTTTTTCCACAACTCAACCCCAGAGGCCACCATGATTTTGTGACTTTGCTCAGTGACTTACAGCCCTAGAGACTGGCTGTCAGTTTCCTGACACTTTCTGGCCCAGGGAATAGAAACTGAACATCAATTCCTTGACTTCTTCCCACAGTCCCTTTCCCACCCCTCACTTATCTTTGTTATATTCCCTGTTCTTGAGTGAATAATTTTAAAGAAAAACTTTAAAACTCAAATTTTATTACAGTAAATCTTGTATTACATTCTACTACTAAGCGGTTAAAGTATAAATGTTAAAACTAGTTACCAAAAATTACTGACTAAAGAATTTTACCAAAAATTTTAGAGTTGGGGGAAAAAAGGAACACTAATAAAGTACTCTAAAATACTAACATTTCTACTGGTAATGGAATTGTAGGTGATTTATACTTTATGCATTATCAACATTTACAGTTAATTCACAATCAGGAGAAAAATGATATGTAAAACATTAATCTGTCACCTATAGGACAAAAGGTGATTGATCTGATTGATCTCACCCAGCAAGAACTATACACCCTTTGGACACAAAGACTTTCCCTCCCCATTTCACTTCCCCATTTACTCACAATAGGTATGATCACCAAGTCTTCAGAAATGATACTTTTTCATAGGTATTAATTGTCGTCAGCAATTGTGGGTTAATTAAAACTGCCAAAATAAAAATTAGGAGAAAAGTAGAGTTTTGAGGAATCTGAGGGGGTAACCCAACCAGTATTTATTTCCCTGAAGTTGCTTAGGGTCTCAAGCCTGGGAAAGTGAGGGGCCATGAATGGGGAATGGTGGGGCCTGGAAGGCATACCTCCTTGTCACTGTTTCTGTAAGCTTCCCATTTCCTGGGCCACAGGACCATGGGACACAAACACTCCAGTCCCCACTGCCCCTCTATCCTCCAACATGTATTTTTTTTTTCTTGGTATACACTTGAACTGTCTTTCTCCATATGAATTCGGAGTATCTCAAGATTTTATAGGTCACTCAGGGTCTGGGATAAGGTACCCAATTCAGTGCTTGTAAGTAGGAAGAGAAGCCAACACAAGTCCTGGCCTCTGAGCCAGCATCTAATAACTGATTCCTGCTGGAGAGGAGTCCGGATGAAGAGATGTCTCCAGATCCTCTCTCACCTCCATGCTGTTGTGTGTGCTATAATCCCTGCCTCTTCTCCCCTGCTCTTTAGCTGGCTAACTTCCACCTTTTAGTTATCAAGTGAGATGTCATCACACCCAGGAAGTCTTTAGTGACTGATAGACCAGATTAGGTACCCCTGCCCTGTACTTCAACAGAATTTATCCTACCCAAAAACCACATATCACACTTTACTGTAATTACCTGTTTAGTGGATATGTATCTCCCATTAGCCCTTAACTTTGGGACAGCAGTTACTGTGTCTGTCAAATGGCTCACACATATCAGGTGCTCAATAAATAGAAAGACCTGAGTTAATCTCAGTAGGTAGGTAGCTCAAGCAAGCACAATGAATCACCACCCCTTGTATTATTAAGTTGCCACATATATTAAGCTGCTGTGAGGCAGAATTCAACATTTCACAACCTGACAATTCAACATTTTAGATGGCTGCATAACTCTATCCAATGTCCGTAGCTGGCAGGGCTCCTATTACAGAGAGCTCTCTCGGGATCTCTGCCCCAATCCTGGACTTACTATGAAGGTGCTCGATGGAAGTTAGGTTTGGGTTGGGAATTGGGTAGAGGGGACAGTGATAAGAGTTCTTATCCAGAAACAGGTTGAACATTTCTAGGAAATACCTACAATTCTTTTATGCAAGACCTGGGTAGACATTTTCCTCCATTTGAGGCCAGTGTTACAGTACAGCAGGTTAAGCTGCCACTTGTGACACTAACATCCCACATCAGAGCACCAGTCCAAGTCCCAGCTGCTCTACTTCCAATCCAGCTCCCTGTTCACACACTTGGAAGGCAGTGGAAGATGGCCCCTGCCGCTCACGGGAGACCAGGATAGAGTTCCAGGCTCCTGGCTTCAGCCTGGCCCAGCCTTTTGGGGAGTAAACCAGTGTAAAAAAGCTCTCGTATTCTCCCTCCCTCTGTCTCTCCCTCTGTCACTCTGCCTTTCAAATAAAGTAAATCTTAAAGTTTTTTCTTCCATTCAACTATCACAATAAGTATCCTTTTGTATGTCTCCTTTTACAGTACTGAACTGGGCTAGAAAGACAAAAATCCTGCTCTCAGGAAAATTTTATCTTCTGTGAAGTCTCACCCTCACCAGAACTCTGCATTTCACAATGCTACAACTCTTACCCACAGACTTACACCCTGGTGTGTGTCCTCTGATGCTGCATAAGGCCTGACCTGTGCCTAAATGTTTTCCTACATTCACTGCATTCATAAGGCTTCTCCCCGGTGTGGATTCTCTGGTGCTGAGTAAGGGCTGAGCTCTGATTGAAGGATTTTCCACATTCATTACATTCATAAGGTTTTTCTCCAGTGTGAATTCGTTGGTGTTCAATAAGGATAGAGCTCCTACCAAAAGCCTTACCACATTCAAAACATTCATAGCCTTTATCTCCAGTGTGAATCTTCTTATGCTGAATAAGGGCTGAGCTCCGGCTGAAAGCTTTTCCACATTCACCACATTCATAAGGTTTCTCTCCAGTGTGAATTCTCCGATGCCTAATGAGCTCCGAGCTGCCCCTGAACGCTCTTCCACATTCACAACATTCATAGGGTTTTTCACCACTATGAATTCTTTGATGTCTAACAAGATCTGAGCTCAAACTGAAGGCTTTGCCACATTCTTTACATGCATAAGGTCTCTCTCCAGTATGAATTCGCTGATGTCTAATCAGCTTTGAGCTCTGGCAAAAGGCTTTCCCACAGTCAAGGCATGCATAGAGCTTTTCCCCAGTGTGAATTCTCTGTCGTATAATATTTGAGCTCAGACTGAGACTTCCTTCACTTTCATTACAATCAAGGATACTCTGTTCCGTGGGGATTTCCTGGTGAAAAGCTGCCAGGCTGAACTGTCTTTCCTGGGAGGAGCATGGATTCATCTTGTTCCTTGCAGCATCTCCTTGATTGTCGGAGCTGTCCAAAGCTGCTGCCATGATCTGTCCTGAAGGAGGTGCCCCGGGAAGTCGTCCTAAGGATGTCACAGCCGTTGATGCTACACACTCGACAGTTTCTTGCTGTGCTCTCAACACTTTGGCAGCCACCATCTCATCATCTAAAAATGTGAATAGGAATGCAAGTGCCATTTACTCAGATTAGAAGAAAGGAAATTCTTAAAGCAGAAAAAGAAAATAAACCAAATGAAATAGGAACTTACCTATTAATAGAAATATTCTTAAATTAATTTCCCATCATAGAGGAACTCAGAGAAGTAGGAGGTGACACCCCACCCCACCCACCCCAGGAGTCAAATAAACAAAGAATGAGAATCATTACTGGGGAGGAGGAATGGTGATCAAGAAGGACATTAGATAGGGAATGGTGATAAATAGGAGTATCTGGGAGAAAACAGGAAGCTAGAGAAGATGTACTTTAAGGTAATGAGGGAAAGGAATGAGGTAACACACTGATCAGAGTAAAGATGTCTACCAGTCTTGAATGAGTGGTGCTCCTAGCAAAGTACAAGACCAGATGATTAGCAAGTTGCTTTAGGGGGTAGTACTGGACAGAGGCAGGAGGACAGAAACTAGAAAGAATTAAGGTAACTGCAAATTCTGGCAGGTTCCAAATGGATCAAATAACCATATGCAATTAAGATATCCCCACAGAGCATGAGAAGAGTATAGTGGGTACCTGACTCACTCGGGTCAGGCAGGAGTCTTTCATGCTTTTGGTCAAAGAAGGTGCATGGAAACAACTGGCAGATGTGACTCCCCAGAGCCAGACCTCCTGCTCTCACACAATGTCCCTCTCGTTTCTAGATTCCTAGTAACTCCTAAAAGGAGCCTACTGAGATGGCTGATGAAAGGTCAATTAATTGAGAGGGGAGCATCTAAAAAACTATTAGGTTACCCTCAACCCCCCCACAAAATTCTCTACATTTATATGGATTTTAGAGATCAGGAAACTGAGGCTCAGAGCAGCTATGTAAAGCCATAGAATTGATCATTGATGGAGACAGGATTCAAAGACACTTAATATCAAAGCTTGATGTCTTTTCCCTATGTTAGTTGCAATTAAATTTAGAAAATAACTTTTTAATAATTTTAATTTGGTTTTGCAGGGGGTTGGGGGGCTGGCACTGTGGTACAGCAAGTTAAAGCCCCGGCCTGCAGTGCCAGCAGCCAGCATGGACGCTGGTTCAAGTTCCAGCTGCTCCACTTCTGATCCAGCTCCCAGCTAATGCACCTGGGATATAGCAGAGGATAGCCCAAGTCCTTGGGCCCCTGCACCTACATGAGAGACCCGGAAGAAGCTCCTGGCTCCTAGCTTCAGATGGGCTCAGCTCCAACAGTTGTGGCCATCTGGGGAGTGAACTAGTGGTTGGAACACTCTGTGTCTCTGCCTCTCTGTAACTGTTTTTTAATTTAAAAAATTAATCTTTAAAAAAATTCTGGCTTTGGAAAGGCCATGTTTTTATATATAAATAAATACTTCCTCCTGGTATTTCAAACACAGGGAAAATTGTCATAGTGAATATCTAATGAAAGCAGAGAGCTGTCTGGCTTCCCATTGCCCCATTCCTTACCAGAAATGATAGATGGACACCATCACCTCTTAGATTAGGGCTGAACAGTAAAGTTCATGCTGTCCTTGGATTTAGACAGAAATTTAAATAATGTAACACTCTGCTTGTTCAAAAGAAAACATTTGTGAAAAAGTATACTAGCATATGATAGAGGCAGAAAAATAAGTACTAAATTGGTTAAAGTCAGAGATGTGACAAACTAAGGAAAATTTTTCTCAAAATACGACATAGAGCCAACATGACAAAGGGTCTAAAGTGGTGATATAATTGTGTAGGGGAAAAAGTTAAATGATGAGACCAGAGGAAAATTTTAACTTTAGATGTATAGATAGGAAAAATAACAAGATTTAAAAATTTATTTTATTTTATTTTATTTTATTTTATTCTATTTGGGAGACAGAGAGAGAGATAGAGACAGAGAGACTCCCATCCCAATTCACTCCTCAAATGCCAGCAATGGCCAGGACTGTGGCCAAAACCTGGAGCTAGGAACTCAATCTAGATCTCTCACATGAAAGGCAGGAACCCAACTATTTAAGTCATCTCTGCTGCCTCCCAGGATCTGCATTAGTAGGAAGCTGGAGCCAGGAGCCAGAGGTGGGTATCACATCCAGGTACTCCAATATGGGACACAGCACCTTAACCAACATCTTTACCATGAGGCCAAATATGTATTCCAATTTTTTTAACTATATATTTATTGTTATACTAAAAAAAATATGAGTCATTCCTAAGAAGGAAAATAAGATTAAAAGTACAAAAAAAAATCATTGGAGTATTCAGCGATATTGGTTAGAGAAAACCCAAAGAACATAATCCAATTAATATCTTACCAAAACAGAAACTAATTCACTATCAAGCCCAAAATCTGGACGACAGAGGGTATAGATTATAAGAGGCTCTTTGGAGAAGTAGCTATTAATTTCTTTTAGAAGACCTCTGTAACACACCCTCTGCTATTCCTACCTATTCAGTGACCTATTTGATCTAAAATTATTTTAACCAGGGATGTGTCCTTTAATTACATGTTACCAAATACATTTTTAGCCTTAAGGCTATATAGTAGATGCCCCACTGCTTACCTAGTTTTACTTTACAAATATTGAGCCTCTTTCCTTCAATTGCTAACGTGTGCCAGCTGCTCCTATGGTCTGCTTGTTCATGTCCTTCCAAAAGTCATATATTGAAACCCTAACTCCCAAGGTGATGGTACCAAGAGGTGATTAGGTCATGAGGGCACAGCTCTCGTGAACAAGATTAGTGCCCTAATGAAACAGGCCAAAGGCACTTGTTCGGCCTTTCCACCATGTAAAGACACAGTGAAAAGATACCATGTTTAAAAAAAAAAATAGCAGGCCCTCATCAAATACCTAGTCTGCCAGTACCCTGATCTGGGATTTTCTAGTCTCTAGAACGGCAAGAAATAAATTTCTGTTGTTTATAAGTTACCCAGTTTATGGCATTTTGTTATAGCAGCCTGAACTTGTAACAACCCACAGCTGCCCCCTTCCCTGGAGAACTGTCCTGGCTGATGGAAGTCACCTGGCCCAGGAAGTTGCTTTGGCCTTCACTGCCCCACTCCTGACTCAAGGGACAACTCTGCAGTGCAGCTGTGCTCTGAGAGCACATCACTGCTTGCTCTTTTCTCCTAACCCTACACTCCCTCCATTACAGTCTCTTCCTGAACAGCACACCCACAGTCACTGCAACCAAAGCTCTATCTTGGGTTCTTGTAGCAAAACACACATTAGTGAAGAAACTACAGGAAAATCATGACCCAAGGTTGTAAAAGTAGTATGGTGATTCTCAGATCATATCAAGGTGGATCACGGCAGTGGTTTAAACCCTATGATCCAGGTGAAGGACGTGAAATGATTCACATTAATTCTTCAGGTGGGAGTGACTGAGACCCTCAGGACTAAAAAGACACCAGCATAAGGAGACTTATTGAGAACCCAGTCAAGGCCACTCAACACCATACACTCGGGGTTGGCACTGTGGCACAGTAGGCTAAGCCTCTACCTGCAGCACTGGCATCCCATATGGGCACTGGTTCAAGCACTGGCTGCTCCTCTTCTGATTCAGCTCCCTGATTATAGCCTGGGAAAGCAGTGGAAAGATGGCCCAAGTGCTCTGGCCCCTGCACCTGCATGGAAGACCCAGAAGAAGCTCCTGGCTCCTGGCTTCAAATCAGCCCAGCTCCGGCCGTTGAGACCATTTGGAGAGTGAACTAGACCTTTCTCACTGTCTCTCCCATCTGTAACTCTACTTCTCAAATAAATAAATTAATAAATTGAAAAAAACATTTTTTTAATTAATTAAAAAAAAAAAAAAACACTCAGGGCCAGTGTTGTGGCACAGCAGGTTAAACTGCTGCCTGTGATAACAGCATCCCATATGAACACCAGTTCCAGTCCTGGCTTCTCCACTTCCAATCCAGCTCCTTGCTAATGTGCCTGGGAAATCAGTGGAAGATGGCCTAAGAACTTGGGCCCCTGCCATCCACATGGGAGACCTGGATGAAGTTCTAGGCTCCTGGCTTCTGCTTGGCCCAGACCCAACTGTCATGGACATTTGGGGAGTAATCAGGGAGTGGAAGATCTCTGTGTCTTCCTTCTCTCTCTCTCTCTCTGTAACTCTGCTTTTCAAATAAATAAATAATTTTTTTAAAAAAATACCTTAAGCTTATGGGCCACATAAATTGAGGATGAAAGCTAAGGCCAAGGAAAGATGGAATCATTGTTACTAATAAGGTGACTGAATCAATAGTAAAATGCCATTGTGAAGTAATAAAAAGATAAAACAGATGACAAATAAAAATTGGGAAGTGAGTTTGCCTTATATTTAAAATTAGTCAGATCTTGGCCGGCGCCGCGGCTCACTAGGCTAATCCTCCGCCTAGCGGCGCCGGCACCCCGGGTTCTAGTCCCGGTTGGGGCGCCGGATTCTGTCCCGGTTGCCCCTCTTCCAGGCCAGCCCTCTGCTGTGGCCAGGGAGTGCAGTGGAGGATGGCCCAGGTGCTTGGGCCCTGCACCCCATGGGAGACCAGGAAAAGCACCTGGCTCCTGGCTCCTGCCATCAGATCAGCGCGGTGCGCCGGCCACAGCACGCTGGCCGCGGCGGCCATTGGAGGGTGAACCAACGGCAAAGGAAGACCTTTCTCTCTGTCTCTCTCTCTCACTGTCCACTCTGCCTGTCAAAAAATAAAAAAAAATAAATAAAAATAATAAAAATAAAAAAAAATTAGTCAGATCTTCATTGTTTAATTTTTTTTTGTATCTCTGAACTTCAAATGAACATGGAGGGATTAAAATATGTCCAAGGAAATATGATAAGAGAAATGGAATATAGCCAGAAATAGAGGCAGAAAGAGGCTTAGTTAAAATAAGGTCAAAGGCGGCGCCATGGCTCAACAGGCTAATCCTCCACCTAGTGGTGCCGGCACACCTGGTTCTAGTCCCGGTAGGGACACCGGATTCTTTCCTGGTTGCCCCTCTTCCAGGCCAGCTCTCTGCTGTGGCCCAGGAAGGCAGTGGAGGATGGCCCAAGTACTTGGGCCCTGCACCCCATGGGAGACCAGGAGAAGCACCTGGCTCCTGCCTTCAGATCAGCGCGGTGCGCCGGCCACAGCACGCCAGCGGTGGCGGCCATTGGAGGGTGAACCAACGGCAAAAGGAAGACCTTTCTCTCTGTCTCTCTCACTGTCCACTCTGCCTGTCAAAAAAAATAAAATAAAATAAAAAAATAAGGTCAAAGGATAATTTAGGGGCAGCATTGTGCCACATTAAGCTGCCACTCATGACACCAACATCCCATATCAGAGTGCTGGTCCAAGTCCTATTTACTCTGTACTTCCAGTATGGCTCCCTTCTAGTGTTGTTTATAACTCCTGGGACGGGAGTGGACGATCTCTCTCTCTCCTTGGTAACAAATAGCCACCTTCTTATTGTGTCCATATGGCCATCCCTTGGTCTGTGTTGTTTGTGCACTAATCTCTCATAAGAACATTTATCATACAGCAATAAGACCTATCCTAACAAGTTCATTTTAACCTGTTTAAAGGTCATATATCAAAAAAAAAAAAAAAGAAAGAAAGAAAGAAAGAAAGAAAGAAAGAAAGAAAGAAAGAAAGAAAGAAAGAAAGAAAGAAAGAAAGAAAAGAAATTTCTAAGGTACTTGGAGTTAGGGCTTCAACATATGAATTTGCTGGGGGCACAACTCAATCCATAACAAGTAGTGACGAGAAAAAGCCCAAGAAGCATTTAAGAAATTACAGTAGAAGGGCAAACAAATATTTACCACAGCAATTAAAATGACACTTGGGATATCCACATTCCTTATCAGAGTGCCTGGGTTCAAGTCCTGGCTCCCCCTCTGGGTCCAGCTTCCTGCTAATGCACACCCTGGAAGGCAATAGGTGATGGGTCATGTATTTGGATCCCTGTCACCCATTTGGGAGCCCTGGATTGAGTTCTAGGTTCCTGGCTTTGCCTGGTCTAGCCCTGGCTGTTGTGGTCATTTGGAGAGCAAACCAGCAGATGGAAGATCTCTCTCTATATATAACTCTGTCCTTCAAATAAATAAATAAATCATTAAAAAATTACAGTAGCATCTCTGTCCCTTGAGGTCTTAAAAATATAGTCCTTTATCCTAAGTGATTTAGAAATTTACCTACTTCAAGGTAAATTTGAGATGATTTTATGAAATGCATTTTTTAATGTAGCTCACACTTGGTACAGAAGCTATTTAAGAGGTTAAGTTTGGGGTATGACACATGTGGGAAGACTGTCAGAGTTTCCCAAGAGACCTCAGGAGATGAATGGTATGGATTTCTTTGGAAAATCACCAGGGTTCAAGGTCTGGCCCTTGCATTTGTATCTTCATACACCTAATTCTATCATCATACAATGAATAGATTTAATTCTTGAGGTATGTTCTCATTAACCAAGCTCATGAAACTGAGCAATAAAACCAGACTGAGAACTAATGAGTAATGTAACCATTACACAGATCAGACTGAACTAACACATTTTATTATTATAGCTAAGCTTCATGAGAAGTTAATAGGCTTACTTGGTGAAGATACAATCAGAGGGGTAGTTAGATGAAACAAAGTTTTAATGAGGGCAAGTTAATAAGCCTGATGCATCTGCTGCCTATGGGGATGATTTTTTTTTTTTTTTTTGACAGGCAGAGTGGACAGTGAGAGAGAGAGACAGAGAGAAAGGTCTTCCTTTCATTGGTTCACCCCCCAAATGGCCGCTACAACCAGCGCATTGCGCCTATCTAAAGCCAGGAGCCAAGTGCTTCCTCCTGGTCTCCCATGTGGGTGCAGGGCCCAAGCACTGGTCTAGAAGAGGAGCAACTGGGACAGACCCGGTGTCCTGACCAGGACTAGAACCCGGAGTGCCGGCGCTGCAGGCAGAGGATTAGCCTAGTGAGCCACGGCGCCAGCCTAATTTATTTATTCTTTATTTGAAAGTCAGTGTTACAGAGAGAGAGGAAAGACAGATCTTCCATCTACTGGTTCACTCCCCAAATGGCCACAATGGCCAGGGCTAGGCCAAGCTGAAGCCAGGAGCTTCTTCCAGCTCTCCCACGTGGGTGCAAGGGCCCAAGAACTTGGGCCATCTTCTGCTGCTTTCCCAGGCACATTAGCAGGGAGCTGGATCAGAAATGGGGCAGCTAGGGATATGAATCGGTGCCCATATGTGATGCTGGCACTGCAGAAGGTGGCTTAACCCACTGTAACAGCGCCAGCCCTACAGAGATGATTTTGACAAGAATATAATCAAAGTCCTTTCAGTTCTAATCCTTGACATCTGAGACATCTATCAATTTATTTCCTCCCTACCGTAGGTGATACTGGAATACCTCTCTCTTGTCAACTGGCATAGTGCGAGTTTTATCAGAAGAGGCTGGAGGGGCTCTGGAGGAAGAAAGCCCCGGCACACTCTTTCTGGATCTCCAATCAGTGGGCCATGCCTGTGCCCTCTCCAACAAGATCTAGACGTCAGCCCTGGCCAGGGAGAGGAAGATGTGCAGATCTTGTGTTCCTTCCTTGGGTGTTTGCCCTCCCCTCTAGAGACTCCCTGTAACTGTAAAATATTGGTTTGGCTTTTTGATATATCATTCAGTGGTAAATTCTGTATCATAGTTCATAATTGTTAACATTAAACTTTCCCTGTTCAAGTTAGTTCTTTGGCTGTTAGTACTGATGTAATAGTCTCCTCCATCTTAGGGGCTGCTATGCCTAATGGGAATCAAAACATTAAGAAGGAGAATACTGGCCTTTGAAAATTATGGATATTAGCAAAGAATTCTAAATATCTTAATTCTTAACCCAAAGTTAGAAATGACATTGGAATTTCAAATTCTAGGTAGAACAAGAGGAAGAATATCCTAGGCAAGGAGACCTTTCCACAGCGCTTGGCCACATGGCACAGACACAGCGCTCAGCTCCACCCTCAAGCCCAGCTAGCTGGCCTCCTCACCTTTCAGTCGGAAAGCCTGAGGCTCCTGAGGCTCCCTCCTGCCCTGGTGGTCCGAGGCCTGCCGCGGGCTACTCAGAGACTTCACTGCTCCCACGGCTGTCATCTCCTTCCAGATTTCCTGGCCACAAGCTGTGTCCTAAGAGTAATCAAGTACCAGCTATGATTCTGAGGATACACAAGAGGAAAACCCCTAGAGTAACACGGTAGGACAGGAGCAATCAAAAATTCATTAAATGACTAGAGAGAAAACAGCAGGATTAAAAGCCCTAGTTGAATTCAGTGAGTGAATAAAATGGTAACACCAAAGGCAGAACGTGCACAATACTCCGTGAGCCAAGTCAATGATACTCACAACATCGACAAACACACCGACTTCTCACCTGCTGCCTTGGCTCGTCAAGTTCTTTCTCCAGCTCCTCCAGCACAGTCACGGCCTCCTCTCCACTGGCTGGCTGATGCGCTCGCACCCAGGCCTGCAGCTCCTCAGGCAGGATGGCCAGGAACTGCTCCAGCACCAGCAGCTCCAGGATCTGCTCCTTGGAGTGCACCTCCGGCCTCAGCCACTGACAGCACAGCTCCCGGAGCCTGCTCAGAGCCTCCCGGGGCCCTGCGGAGTCAGAGTAACCAAACCGCCTGAACCGCTGACGGAAGGTCTCCTGGCTCCAGGCATTTTCCTGAACGTCAAAGTCTTGCTCCCAAACATACTTCTCTTCTTCAACCTTCACAACCCTAAGTCCTTCTTGTTCTTTGGGAGCATGGCAGGCCACCTGTGTGGCCTCTCCCGACATTCTGGGCAGAGACCGTCTGGAAAGGTTGCCCAGATGAGGCAGGCAGGAGATGGAGGTTGGTGTCTCGAGGATTCCTTCACAATTCCAACTCTTCAGAGTGCCTCAGGTGCACAGTGCTCAGGTTACAGATTTTGGAGGACCAGCTGTCGAGAAGCACAGCAGTATAAAGAAAAGCGACCACATGCACATTTACAGATGATTCAGGGCATTTTCAAGATGTGAAATAGGAAATAAGTTAGTATAGTCAAAACTAGTTTGACCTTTAGTAATAACATTAGAAACATGAGGGATAATAAATAATGCTCACAGATCATGGAAAGCAGGAAAAACACTGTAGTATATTATGACGTCTCAGAATAACAATTACCACCTTATTGAGTACTAGCTCGGTTCTTAAATATTAGAGAATTTTCCTAACAGCTCCGTAAAGGACAATCATAATTATGCTCACCTGCCACATGAGGCGACTGTAAAACAAGGCACACAGCCAGGCAGCAACCGAAGTACGTGACTCTCTGTCATGCCACACGCCTCCCCGGAGAAGGAAATCCACACTTACTAAATCCCTCCTAGGTGCCAGGCACTCAACAAATACTATTTTACTGGGTCTTGACAATAACACTACAAAGTAAGTATTATCATCGCATTTTACAAATGAGGAAACCAAGCTTCTTGAGAGTCAGGCAATTTGTCCACGGCCCCATACTAGAAACTAGCACAGTCAAGGCATGAATCCAGGGTTGCCTAGCTTTGAAGCACTTGCCCTTTTCATTATAGACTGGGTTAATCCAATCTTGGTTGGTACCACAGATTAGCAATGGTAGTGAAAGGAGTCACAGAGAATGGCCAGGGCAAACGCATAAACAAGGGAAAATTCTTGACTTTAAGTCTCAAGATTCTGGAACAGCACAAGGCAAAGATAATTCCTTCATGCTTTGTTCCAGCAAATGTTTGAGTATACACTATTTCCTAGGCAGTGTACTTTACAGGAGTCTCAGGATGGAAGGGCTGTCCCCAAGGATGCTTAGTCTACTATGGGAAAGCAACAGGTAAATTGTCACAGTATAAATCCACAGGTACAGGTAAGGAAGCACAGGGAAAGACGACTGACCAAGATCAGGGAGAGAGGGACAGAAGAGCCAGGGAGAGCTGCCCGGGGAAAACATCTCAGCAGAGCCTGACATGAGTGAGCTAGGGGAAGAGGTAGAGGAAGTTCATCTGGGCAAAGAGAACAGTGAGTGAGATGTGGCCCACTGAACAAACAAGGTGGTTTATAAACGGGAAGCCGAACCAGTGATTGCCACCTCTGGATATGGCTCAGAATGAGCCATGGAGCATGGACTCATGATAGTTAAGAGTCAGGATGACTGTAAGCGTCTAGCCTCAACTGCCTCTGATGTGCAGCCAGGAAGAACTCTGCCAGAGCACAGAATAAACGAAGAAGGAGCACCTAGAGAGGAACTAGCCAAGCTACCACGGGTTTCCAGGTGGGGCTACAGTTTGCATTTCATCCCTATGACCACAGAGATGCCTGGAGGCTGTGTGTATCCACCCAGACAGTGGTGTAGAGAAGGGATAGGACAACGAGGGCCTGAGCGATAGGAGCCAAAAGAGACAAAGATCAGCAATTTGACAGCACTTAGGGACATACTCAATTAGCCTGACAAGACAAGAGTCCAGAACGCAGGTTTCAGGCTGGCCTTAGTGACTAGAGGATGCTGGGGCTATGAAATGAACTATTCATTAAGAAGTTATAACAGTGATCTACAAAGCACATTTCCTAAACTGTGCTTTGCCAAAATTAACAGCTGCTTCACACACACCTGAACACAGAGAAACTGGGGGATGTTTTTAGGGTTTTTTTGTTTGTTTGTTTGTTTGTTTGACAGGAAGAGTGCACAGTGAGAGAGAGAGACAGAGAGAAAGAGAGAGAAAGGTCTTCCTTTTCCGTTGGTTCACCCCTCAATGGCTGCTGCGGCCGGCGCGCTGCAGCCGGCGCACCACGCTGATCCAAAGCCAGGAGTCAGGTGCCTCTCCTGGTCTCCCATGCGGGTGCAGGGCCCAACCTCCACTGCACCCCTGGGCCACAGCAGAGAGCTGGACAGAAAGAGGAGCAACCGGAACAGAACCCGGTGCCCCGACCAGGACTAGAACCCGGTGTGCCGGCGCCGCAGGCGGAGGATTAACCTATGGAGCCGCGGCACCGGCCTTAGATTAGTTTTATAGTATAAGAAAAATATTGGAGCCGGCATTGTGGCATAGTGGGTAAAGCTGCTGCCTGCAGTGCTGGCATCCCCTGTGAGTCTGAGTCCTGGCTGCTTCACTTCCAATTAAGCTCCAGCCTGGGAAAGCAGCAGAGGATGGCCACGTCCCTGGGCCCCTGCACCCACATGGGAGGCCCAGAGGAAGCTCCTGGCTCCTGGTTTCAGACTGACCCAGCTCCAGCCGTCAGGAGGAATGAACCGGCATCCCGTATCAGAGTGCTCCATTTAAGTCCTGGCTCTCTTCTGATTCCAGCTTCCTGCTGATATACACCCTGGGAGGCAGCCAGATGAAGGCTCAAGTATTTAGCCACATGGGAATTATAGATTGAGTTCCTAAACCCTGGCTTCAGCTTGGCCCAGCCATGGCTTTTACGGGCCTTTGAGGAGTGAACCACTGGATGGAAGATCTCTCTCTGTCGTTCTCTCAGCCTTTTGAATATATAGCTAAAAAATTAATAAAATGAAGAAAAGGATGACCTTTTCCACCCATCTGCACAGGGGCTGTTCTTGTAGTAGGGTCTGAAGGATGGAAGTGGTTGCATCTCTCCCTGGAGTGTAACTGAAAACTTGAAGGACAACTTTGAAGAACATCAGGTGTGTTTAGGGTGTTGAAATAGAAATATCATAATAAAGAAATTTTGAGTGGCTCAGTACATTGGCCAGTGTCAGCTTCAAAAACTTTATAATCATACAGAATCATCTCTGCTCCTTCTCCCTCTCCTTCACAGGTGCACCCTCCTGCACATCAGAGTTCTGCCATCTTCTGTTGTCTTCCCAGGCCGGTTCTCAGGAAGCTGCACAGGAAGCAGAGTAGCTGGGACTCCAAATGCACCTCTACTGGCACTCCAGCATGAGATGCCAGCGTCCCAAGCAACAGCTTAACCCACTGAACCACAACCATTGTTCTCTCTGTGCCAAATATCAACTTTAGTGGGATTATTTATCTGGTTAATACCTGTCTTGCCCATGACTAGATCATAAACTACATTGATATTTTTTCTCTCTATTGTATCTTCATTACCCAACCCAAAGCAGGGCACACGGTACACGACATTTATGAAAGAATGTCATTATAGTCAAATAAGAATTTCCAGGAGGCAGTGACTAACGCTGTCAAATGCCTAATAAACACTAAGCATAAGAACGTCCCCAAGTGCTTCTCCTGCTGCAGGAAGATGGTCCAGCACACAGAATGCACCAGCTCTGGAGCTGGGTGACCTAATTTAGAATGCCAGTACATCCTCTTCCAGCCGTGTGACATCAGTCATCGTATGCAACCTTAGAGATCCCATTTCCTCTCCTAAAAACAGTTAATATGGTTTTACAGAACTGGAAGTCACACAAGCATCTGAGTACTGCTCCTTGGTGTACTATATGTTCATTCTGATGCTCTGAGCTCTGGAACCTTAATGACACCAGAAGGCCGGGCCATCCAGAGTAGCCAGTTCCCAGAGAGAGTAAACAACTCCAGGGCGAGTGTACCTCTCCTGTGCAAACCAACCAGCCCAGAGCCCACACCCCGCCTGCCTCCTCCATCAGGCTCCTACAATAAGGGTCACCATTTCCCTGTGCTGCTCACCCCAGGAACAGGAACCAAACAACTAGGGACAACACCTGTATCCCACAGCCAACTGAAATGACTCAAAGTAGACAATCCTAAACCTTCTTACCGCACCTACGCCTTCCCTTGAACACCCCAATAAACGTTCCTGCCCACTTTCTTCTCGCTCCCTCCGCCTCCTGAAGAACTCTGGTACTTCTTCCTATGGCCCAGAATGGCAAGGCACGCTGCCTTCTCTTGGAAGCAGGAACAAACTATTTTCAAGGGTCTGTCTCACCATATCTACCTAACAAGGTATACCACATTTTAAAGCAAGTTGACCCAGAGTAGGCATCCAATGGGTGATATGACACAAATAAAGGACAAATTCCACATCCAAAACATGGGTTATAAAAAGCACTTTGAGGCGGGCACTGTTGCGTGGCAGGTGAAGCCGCTGCCTGCAGTGCCAACATCCCATATGGGTGCTGGTTCAAGTCCCGGCTGTTCCACTTCCAATCCAGCTCTCTGACGTGGCCTGGGAAAGCAGAAGATGCTCCAAGTCCTTGGGCCCCTGCACCCACGTGGGAGACCCAGAAGAAGCTGCTGGCTCCCGGCTTCGGATCGGCCCAGCTCCGGCTGTTGCGGTCATTTGGGGAATGAACCGGCAGATGGAAGATCTCTGACTCTGCCTCTCTTCTCTGTAAATCTGACTTTCAAGTAAATAAATCTTTTTCTAAAAAGGTGGGGAGGCTTTATTGGGGAAATGTGCCTGCCAGGGGTCAGGAAAAGCAAGCAGGGATCCTGATTTTCCTTTCATCCCACAGTAAGGAAGTCTGGACAAAGGCACGCCTGTGTTTCAGGGGCAAGCTCACACTGCCTTCTCATGGTACAAATGTGGGAAAACAACCTTGTCCGTGTGTGTGTGTGTTGAGGGGAGGGGAGGGGGTGTCTGGATTTAGGCATCAGTTGTTTAAGGAGTTGTCTAGGGTACCAGATGCCCAGCACATGGGCAGGGTGAGGAGGTATGAGAGCTGGCGAGGGTACATCCCTCCCCCTGGGAAAAGGCAAGTCGCTGGTTCTAATTATCTTAGTGTAGGCAACCAAGAGGCAATCTCCAAGGCGCTCATGGACAACCCTGCTTGTTACGGCACCAGTTATTATAATGCATCCGAGTGTAATGTGACACAGACAAAGCATCTCGCCCTGACATACGGCTAAGACCAAACTCAAGATCGCGCTATGGCCTCCGGAGAAGTGGTAGGAAAGGGCCCGTGAGAGCTTCTGCCACAGCCGACCCTGTGGCCCCTAACAACGGCAGCGCCCGCAAGTGCTGGAGGAGTCAACAGACCGGCGGGCGGTGGGTCAACCGATAAACAAAGAGGAAGGACCCCGCAGCAGCGGGCGCACTGCGCTGAGGGGCAGGGCCGCCGGTACGGCTGCGCGCTCTGCTCACAGCAGAAGCAAGCAAAGGGGTTCGAGCAAAGACCGTGGGGAAGGCTGAGGCCGACCAGGGGCGGTTTCCGCCCCATTAAACCGCCCCACTCACCCTTCGCTCAGCCAACCGCGGCAGACCTCAGGGAAGGATCACTTCCGCTGGAATACCGGAAGTGGAAGGGTGGTCACAGCGTGCACCTCTAGGAAACTCGGAGGACTGGAACTCTGTGGCGGGTGCATGCCGCGAGTCTCCCCGGGAGGTAGGCGAGATCTTACTGCCCACTTAGTAAGCACGGTTGATGGAAGCCTGAAATGGGGAGAAATTATGTATAGAATTGAAGTCAGGTATATATTACATATAAATGTATATTACAATATTTTTTCCACTTTCAGTCTAGGCTGGTATACATGAGAATTTAAAAGTAGAGTCCAGGTACTGGCGCTGTGGCTCAGTGGGTTAACCCCCTGGCCTGAAGCGCCAGCATCCCATATGGGCACTGGTTCTAGTCCCGGCTGCTCCACTTCTAATTCAACTCTCTGCTGTGGCCTGGGAAAGCAGTAGAAGATGGCCCAAGTCCTTGGGCCCCTGCACCCGTGTGGGACACCCAAAAGAAGCTCCTGGCTTCGGATAGGCGCAGCTCCGACCATTGAGGCCAATTGGGTAGTTAACCATCAGATTAAGACCTCTCTCTCTCTCCCTCCCTCCCTCCCTCTTCTCTCCTCTCTCTATGTAACTCTTTCAAATAAAAAAAAA